TCCCTCCTGACAACATGTCCAACGTATGTAAGACGTAGTCTTGTCATCCTTGCTTCTAAGGAGGATTCTGATTATACTTCTTCCAAGACAGATTTGTTTGTTCTTTTGGCAGTCCATGGTATATTCAATAATCTTCAACAACACAATTCAAAGGCGTCAATTCTTTTTCAGTCTTCCTTATTCATTGTCTAGCTTTCACACTGAAAACTTCATGGCTTGGGTCAGGCACACCTTAATCTTCAAGGCGACTTCTTTGCTTTTCAACGATTTAAAGGGGACTTTTGCAGCAGATCTGCCCAATGCAATGCATCTTTTGATTTCTTGACTGCTGCTTCCATGTGTTGATTGTGGATCCAAGTAAAATGAAATCCTTGACAACTTCACTCTTTTCTCCATTTATCATGATGTTGCTTATTGGTCGAGTTGTGAGGATTTTTGTTTTCTTTAAGTTGAGGTGTAAGCCATACTGAAGGCTGTGGTCTTTGATCTTCATCAGTAAGCGTTTCAAGTCCTCTTCACTTTCAGCAAGCAAGGTTGTTAATGAGTCTTCTTCCAATCCTGATGCCCCTTTCTTCTTCATATAGTTCAGTTTCGCAGATTATTTGCTCAGCATACAGATTGAATAAGCATGGTGAAAGGATACAACCCTGATGGCACACCTTTCCTGACTTTAAACCATACAGTATTCCCTTGTTCTGTTCAAACAACTGCCTCTTGATCTACGTACAGTTTTCTCATGAGTACACTTAAGTGTTCTGGAATTCCCATTCTTCTCAATGTTATTCACGATTTGTTATGATCCACAGAGTCAAATGCCTTTGCATAGCTGATAAAACACAAGTAAACATCTTTCTGGTATTCTCTGCTTTCAGCCAGGATCCATCTGACAGCTTGATATCCCCGGTTTAGTGTCCTCTTCTGAATCCAGCTTGAATTTCTGGCAGTTCCCTGTCGATATACTGCTGCAGCTGCTTTTGAATGATCTTCGGCAAAACTTTACTTGTGTGTGATATTAATGATATCTGTAACCTGTTACTTCCCTAATAAACCCCATAATTGTGAGTATAGTCTGTGAGTTCTATGTGGCCATTGCAATGAATTATCGAACCCAGCAGAGAAGTAGAGAGTGCTGTGCAAGGGATGACTGCTGTCAGAATTAGTAAAGATGGTGGAGAGAGGAGGCTTGTCTGGCCTCTACTTCATGGGAGTCAGCCTTGCACTGTTGGCTCTCCTTCCCCCTAGTGGAGTTGGGGGAGGTCAGACACTGCCCCCATGCTGTTTTTACACCCTGCCTTTCTCTCTCACTGTTTCCATAATCCATATATAGTCCGCTTAGGAAAAAAAAAAAAAAAAAAGACCTGTTGCTGTCTAGTCGATTCCGACTCATAGCAACCCTATAGGACAGAGTAGAACTGCCCCATAGAGTTTCCAAGGAGTGGCTGGTGGATTTGAACTGCCGACCTTTTGGTTAGCAGCTGTAGCTCATCGAAGCTCTTAACCACTGTACCACCAGGGCTCTATGGTCCACTTAGTGTCCTGTAAATCCCTTAGGATCTGTTTCTTTTCTTCATTCTTTTTCTCTTTGGCTCTCAGACTTGATAATCTCAAATGTCTTATCTTCCAGTTTGCTGATACTTTCTTCTGCAAGCTCACATCTGCTTTTGAATCCTTTCAGTGAATTTTTCATTTCGGTTACTTCACTTTTTAGTGCCAGTATTTCTGTTTGGTTTCTTTTTAAAATTTCTACTTCTTCACTGATATTCTTGTTTTGTTCCTTTATCATTTTCCTGATTTCCTATAGTTCTTTGAGCAAATTTAACATTGTTGTTTTAAAGTCCATGTCTAGTAAGTCCATTATTTGGACTTCCATAGGAGTGGTTTCTGTCATCTTATTTTGTTCTTTTAAGTGGGCCATCCTTTCCTGTTTCTTTTATGTCTTGTGATAATTTTGTTGGTGTTGTTGTTGAAACAGGATATTTGAATATTATAATGTGGTAACTCTAGAAATCACAGTCTTGCTCTTCCCCAGTTTGCTTTTTTTTTTTTTTTAGTTGTTATTGTTGTCTTTTTAAAACTGTTGGAGACTGGAATTTGAGAGTATCCAAGCTCTTATGAGGAGGGGGTCTGAGCTCTTATCACCACCTGGACTCAACATTTGGACTGTCCTCTCCAGTTCCAGTGCTGTCCCTGTTGCCCAAACACAGCTGTGACCACATATTTGCATATACTTGTCTTGGCTCTTAATGATCTTGGGTAAACTTGTCTTTTTCTGGCATTCCAGGATATGGAGGCCCTCACCATGCTCTTCAGCTACTCACGGCCTCTGCAGCAAACTGAACCACTCAAGTTGTTTCAGTAGATAAACCATTATTTAGAGCATGAAGTCCATTTTCCATGCCAAAAGAAGTCTGAGAAATACCTTAAACCATATCTATAGTGTTTTCACATAGCACGTGACATTTGATATAATTAAGAAAAGCAGCTAACTGAATGAAATGTTGCCCAGTCCCAAATCATCTTCATGATTGCTGGTATGTCTGAGTCCGTTGTTGTAGTTACTGTGCCAACCCAACTCACTGAGTGTCTCCCTTGCCCTCACTGGCCCTCCATTTCACCAAACATGATGTCCTCCTTCAGCAACTGATCCCTCCTAATGACATGTTCAAAGCAAGCGAGTTGGACAAATGTTCTGTCGTGATGCACAGGTTTTTATTGGCTGATTTTCTAAAGTAGATTGCCAGTTATTTCTTCCTAGTCTATCTTAGTCTGGAAGCTCCTCTGAAACCTGTTCACTATGGGTGACCCTATTGGTATTTGGAATACCGGTGGCATAGATTCCAGCATCACAGCATGCCACACATACAACAAATAGACAGGTGGTAGCTACCATACTTTATAATAAGTCTTATTGTGTGCTAGGGTGTGAGTCCACCCACCTTCTGCTTCATCTTCACATGTGTCTTACCTGTCCTTGTATATTTCCATTTAAAATTTTAGAATCAGCTTGTCTAGTTCACAAAAAAAAGAAAGAAAAAAGTTGGGAGTTTGATTGAAATTACATTAAATCTATACATTCCTGTGAATAATTAACATCCTTATGATAATAAATATTCCTGTCTATGTTCATAAAAAAAAATGTTGGTGACTATAGTCATCCATTTGTTTAGTGACTTCCCCTATTACTGCAAAAACTACCTTCTCGTATGTGTGTGGCTACTGAAGACAGCGTTTCTTAGCTTGTGCTCAGCTAGCATTTTGATAGAGATTTACTTGAATGCCGGGGGAAAAAACAAAATAAAAAACAAAATCTCTCCCTATCTTTGCAAATTAGTTCTATACCAAGACTTTCCCTCAACACTTAGCTAGGGTTGCAATGAGCCTACAGATCAGTCAGACGTGAAAGCGTAGGGTTTTCTCAGCTAATTTCTGGGCATTCTCTTGCCCTGGGCATGTGTGTTGCTTTCTCAATTTTCCAGTATTCATGACGCTTTTGAAAGCTTTGCTATCTAAAGAAACTCTCTCCCCAGTCTCTCCTTCCAGCTTTCAGGAGCTATTATATTACTCAATTGTACTCTTTAGCTCTATATGGTTACACCCGGTCATAGACTTAGGCTCCTGACCCTCAGCGCTGCACAAGCTCCAATACAGGCCAAACCAAGATGAGCACCTTACTTCAGCCTTCAGGCATTCCCCAGACAGGTTAGTACAGACACACACAATGACTGAGGAATATCGTCTTCTCTGTTCTGTCTAGAGTCAGAGGCCAGGCTCTCTCCCTGGGAGTGTGGGCTGCTGCTTTATGATGTCTGATGTCGCTGTTGAGTCAGGCAGGGGGTGGGCACAGGAGGTAGAAAACTAAAGCTTTGCTACCATTTATATGTCACCTTTTTCTTGATTTAGCATTCGCTTAGAGGAACCCGGGTGGCGCAATGGTTAAGAGTTTGGCTGTTAACCAGAAGGTTGGCAGTTCAAGTCCACCAACCGCTCCTTGGAAATCCTACGGGGCAGTTCTATCCTGTCCTATGGAGTTGCTATGAGTCAGAATTGACTTGATGGCAATGGGTTTTGGGGTTTTTTATTTGCTGTAACCCTCTGACTGGTTTCCCGAGTTCTGCCACTGTTGATTCTGCCAGTTTCTTTTTTTTTTTCCCTTGGTGTTTTTGTGGGGAGACGGAAGCATGTAAGCTGTTTAAGCAACTATCTTGCTCTAGCTAGCCCTACATTTTAAACCACTTATCAGGCTACAGTTCCATGAGAAAAAGGAAAGTTAACAAGCATATTAAGACTTTTGTATTTAATTTTTATTGCTAGTGCTATTTGTTTGTGCATTTATGGCCTTATGCAAAGCACTGTTACAGAAAAACATTTGATGAGATTGGTTCTCTAATGTGAAATGTAAGACATAAACTTTAAATATACTTATAAAATAGAAATAATTTTCATTTCTGAATTTGTAATTAATATATAACCTCTTACTTATAAAATATTAATTTAGTAGTAACAATAAAAACATAAATACCTCATAGATCTGCAATTGTTCCTTGCTGTAGATATCATTCATCATTCTATTTTTTTGGGAAATACTACGAACAGTGTTGTTAAAATATGCACATACGTGAATGTTGTTGTTAGGGGCCATCAAGTCCATTTTCAACTCATAGTGACTCAATGTGACAGAGTAGAACTTCCCCATAGGGGTTTCTAGGCTGTACCCTTTAGAGGAGAAGACTGCCAAATCTTTTCTCCTGCAGACCCACTAGGTGGGTTCGAACCGCCAACCTTTCAACAGCAGCCAAGTGCTTAACCATTGTGCCTCCAGGGCTACTTTATAGGTATATATAAATACACAAATGATTACAGTTAAAAAAAAAAAAATCCTTTTTATCCTTAAGTGAGAAAGTCTCATTAGTCAAAATAGCAAAAAAAACAAACAAACAAACAAAAAAAAAACCACATGAGAATACAATAAGGATCATAAAATAGGATTCAGCATGTCTCACCCTACAGTTGAGCAGTGTATAGAGGACATGGTCGGGAGTGGTCTGAGCTCTCCACTGCAAAACTTCTGAGAGAAACAGGAACTGAAACCAAACACAGTTATTAGGTTCAAATTACTGTAGTTTGGACTGGTATAATCTCAATATTTATGTCAGCATTGTCTGTCTGCATGCTTTATAAGTGCCTAAAAATGGTATGTCTCTCCACCAAAACACCAGAGAAGGGAGGACACACATTCAACTAACATCCTTGACAAATATAATCAGCAGAATAAGCAAGTGCTTATAATTTTTTCCTGGAGTTTGGATTCATTACACCTGGTTTACAGACTTACAAATCAAAGGTCTGGTGGTATACTCCTGGTTAGGGAAGTTTTCTGAAAGTCTGCCCAAGGATGGGAGAACTCCATTTCCCTTATGATAGACAGGAGTAGCCAATACAGAAAACTCTTTTCTTCCGCGGCTTTCAGAAAGTACAATGTAGAATTTTGTGGGATGCAATGGGAGAATCAGTTCTACTCTGTTTTTTAAAATGGATTCTATTAAATTTGCTATGCTTCTAGAATAGTAATTCCCTAATGTCATTAAACAGTACTGTAAATTATCCAGACCATATGCAATGCATTGATTGAGCATAGAGTAAAAAGGACAGCCGATTTCTTGTCATCCCTAATACAGTGCTAGTGACACGATATAAGAAACATCCATGTGTACCATTTCATCCATTTTATTAACAGAAATATACTACGTAGGTGGGGAACATCATGATCAAGTGCACTGAATTCACATTTTACTATATGTTACCAAATTGGCAATATGTTAAATTGCTGATTTTCGTCACATTGCCAAATAGCTCTAAATATAGAATGGGACTATACCTAGGCTATGGGAAAACAGGACTGCTTTCGGTCACTCTTAGAGTTCTCAGGGCTGAATGGTAACAATGGGGACCCATAGCGACACATGACAATTTGTGTGATGTTTGTTGTGCAATGGGGTTTGAGGATTTCTCCTACTGCTTCTAAATCTGCTTTAAGGATGTCTGGCTCCCAAACCTGGGTTTTGAACTGATGTTTTCTTGTACTCCAAAGCCCAAAGACTGAAGTCTCATACCAAGGTCACTGTGAGGCAGTTTTGAGTTTCAAATCAGGGCTGGTGGGGATAATGAGAAACAAGTGACTTTGGGGAACACTAAGATAGGACAAGGATTCCCAAACATTCTATTCATTTTCTAATGCTAATAGTGGGACTATAATACGACGTACCCATTTGTTTGTCTCTGTGACATTTTCTAAAACACTGTATACACAAATAAACATTTATCATATAAAATTACTAGGTATATCTCTTCCTGGATCAAGAGATTAGGTAGGAAGAGAAAATGATCAAAGGCTCAAGAGAACAATAGTATATAGTAAATTGGCAGAGTTAGAAAAATAAGGGAGAAGAGTCACATGTGTAACACAGCATTCTAGCTAGACAGCAGTCAAGAGGGACACGATATTGAGGTGTACGATCTCAGCTGCTTACCTTCCGGGCCTGGTCATTGTCTTCTATCTGACCAAGGTCTCTGCCGCTAGCCTGGGCAATCCTCTTTCCAGAGACGAGGTTGCCCACCATCACAGAGGCAGGACCAATTTCTAGGAGGAAATAGTGGCATACAAGTGATGAAAATATAAAGCTAACTACCTTAAAACAGAACTTCCCACCTTGGTAAAGTGTGTACTCTTGGCAAATCCTTTGAAAGATATGACTTCAAATAAATCTTATTAGAACAGGGTTGTAAAGAAATTGCTAAAATGATAATGATGGCTAACAAAGACAAGCCTTGACTAAGGGCTACATGTTGTTGCTGGGTGCTGTCTGGTGGCGACCCCATGTGAGAGTAGAACTGTCCCATAGGGATTTCTTGGCTGCAGACTTATGGAAGCAGATCACCAGGTCTTTCTCCCATGGAGCTACTGGGTGGGTTTGAATGTCCAACCTCTGGTTAGCAGCCAAGTACTTAACCATTTGCACTACCAGGACTCCTTAAGAGCTATATAGAAACAATATTTTCATCACATGCCAAATTCCCCTATTATTCTTCCTAGGCCCATTGCCTTCATTTCCCAGTTAGTGTGAACTCAGGGGATGCTAACATGTTTTCACATTAGTGATTATAAAATATAATAATACAAAAAAGCTATTAAAAGTTAGATGTGTTTCACTGCTATGTAAAGACTTCTGGATTATATGTGCTCTTTTTCCCTGGTGTTAGTATACATCACTGAGAGTTGACCATAAACAAAACATTGTACTTTTTTTTATAAATACCTCAAGATAAATTCAGGGAGCAATACTGTTGGTGGGATACGACATAGATGTACTTGTCTATATATTCCATTGACTGAAAAGGTTTTAGGTATTCTGCCAGGCCCAGAGCAAAGGTAAAAGAATAGACCAAAAGCTACTGTAAAATTGAAGTTATTTTTTACTCCACTGTTGTTCACTTGATTCCCAAATCTCTTTTCCCAGTTTGCTGAAACATTTTGAAAGAGAAAGGCAGGTAGAATATTTTGAGAGGTTTTTTTTTTTTCCTATGAAAGAAAGAAGTTTCTTAAAGAACTACAGAAATGTTTTCAAAATCTCTGGCTGCAAAAAACACGAGGTACCCTCCTGCTTCCTCAAAATAGCATTACTGATAAACCAAGATACACACAGTTAATAGGAAAAAGATAGAAGTTCCAGGAGATATGTGAGTATGTGAGAACATGTGAGAGAGAGAGAGAGAGAGAGAGAGTGTGTGTGTGTGTGTGTGTGTGTGACACAGAGAGAGACAGAGATAGAGACAAGGAGAGGAAGAGAGAGAGAGAGTAAAAGAATGATTATCAAAATAATTGCAATATGAAATAACACAGATAATGCTACCAATTTTTGTTTAATCCTTGGTTCAGTAAAACACAAGTTAAAGATGACAACAATCAAGTCAAATTCTTATTAAACTTTTGATGAAGGTCAAGTTACATGTTTATCAATCAGGACATATGATGCATTACCCATTATATATAAAAAGCTGTATGTCTGTAGTTAAGCAAATTGATCATGTAGCATATCATAAACAGACAAAGGTTTTTAAGGTACAGGTTTAGGAGTGTGGTGGCATAGAACAAGGCTTATAATGTGTACAGTTAACCATGACAACCATCCTAACAATCATCTTGGGCTCCCAGTACAAACTTAATGAAATGACCATGCATAGTACAAGGTAACTGAGTGTCTATCAACCTTTAGTAGACTGTCAAACTGAAAATAGGGCCACCCATTCTTCTCTACAGATACACTGCTGTCCACACTGAATTTGGTTTGCCATGAAATATTCAAATTCTCACGGCTACACAGAGGAATGCACAGTGCTTCAAGATAGGACAGGAACTTTGGATTGGAGTAGCTAATGACACATTTCTGGGCCTTTTGGTGTCTTTGGTTTCAGGCAATTTAAACCTTGATGATGGTTTCTGTGTAATCATAAGACTATACTAAATGTTCTCAGCTAAATCACTTTAAATTGTATATTCTTTTTTTATGTTTGGTAGCTGTGAGCAAACTATGTTTGCTTACTTCTTAATAAAATGACTGCAAAAGAGGAATAGTCTTCCATATTTAACAAAACAAAAAAGGAAATTTGGTAACAGAATACCTGCTGAAGTGAATGGGGGTGCCACTGTGTAAGAGCATGTATGAGTTAATTGCTTTTGCATGGATAATACCCTTGTATCATTAATCTTAGCTTATTAATTATTAGCTTTCTATCTTTAATATCTGTTGATAAAATATCTTAACATTCTCCTTGGTGATCTAGGGCTGGCTGGGCAAAATGCTTGTTTTAAGAAGCCTTCTTGGAAACTAGCCTAAATTTCTTTGAAGTCTTATCAATAATACATTCAAGAATTCAAACTAGGGTAGGGAAAACAATATTTTCAGAGGATATGAGGCTTTCACTGTGCCTCATTTTGTGCCTCTCTGCCACTGGGTCAAGTCTTCCTTTACTAAACGTTTACTTCTGCTTACGTTATCTGAATGCAGGGTTTGGGACCTTGAGTGCCTTGCTCTTCACCTAGGCTTATGAACTTATTTTTTCCAACTGTTGCTAGGAAACAGGAGACCTTCTTGCTGCACCTTGTTTTTAAAATCTGTCTTTAACCAAGACCTGATGATTTCTCTCCCTATTTAAAGTGAGGTGGGCATGTAGAAACACTCCCATAGGGTGTCACCTCTCTTACAATGTGAAAAATATAAAATGGAGATATACCCCAAAACATATGTATTTGAAGTTCACATTTACTCTTTCTCTTCCTACATTTCCCTTACAGATTTACAAATCCTTAAGTCAGCAAATTTACTGCTAGTATTACTGAACTCTCACCATACCATTCCTGACAAATTAATGCAGGGGACACAGGCAGAAATTTTACTTAAAAGACAGTAGCAAGATATGTAATCCTGAACTAGGGGCAATATTTCTCTTCTCTGCGACACTGCAGTTCTCTGAGGCCTAGTCCTCACACTGGCATGGTGGGATTCTTCTCCAGCTATTCTGATAAAATACATGCCAGGGAATTTTAAAGCTGTGAAGTTATGCCTATTTTTATAATACTGACAATATTGTTACCAGACCAACTGATGGGTTCAGCATTTTTGTGCTCAATTAAGTTATTCTCATAGTAACTCTGTTGCTAGCTAAATGAATACTAATTCACCAAGTACAAATTTACTTAGGTTTTCCACAAAATATCTAAATTTTAGGGGGTCTGTTTCAAGCATTTAACAACACAGTTACACATAAATGGCCACAAAAAATGTTTGTGTTGGTTGCCAATAATGGATACTTGTTCAGAGTCATAAATGTTAATTCCAAAGGGGCCTTAGAAATCATCCAGTACAATTCCCTCATTTGCATCTATGGAAACTGAGGCCTAGAGAAAATATGATTTACCTAATGTTACATTCCAGGTTATTAGCAGAGTTAGGAACATCTGCTGGTACTCGAGGAGCCCTGGTGGCCCAGTGATTAAGAGCTTGGCTGCTAACCAGAAGGTCAGCAGTTCGAATCCACCAGCCACTCCTTAGAAACCCTATGGGGCAGTTCTACTCTTCTACTCTGTCCTATAGGGTCGCTATAAGTCAGAACTGACTCAATGGCAACGGGATTGGTTTAGTTTGGTTTGGTCACTGGTACTTCATACAAGGCCTTTTTCTATTTCACCACAGCTGCCATTTAATATTTATTGGAAAACAGTTTTTTGAAGATATAGAATTGCATGACTTCTCAATATTTATCAAAAACAGATGAACATCAAATACCTTACAGACAGGACATCTTTTTTAAAAATTTTGTTGTTCTTTAAAGTTACCAATCACATAAAATTTCATTTACTACATTATTGTATTAGAGTAGAAAGGTACCATATCTCTGGGATAATCCTTTCAGCACTCAACTTCTGATAAAGAAGACTGCTTAAGCCCCCACCAGCTCAGCTCTCCAGCGCGGAATGAGTGGCATTCACTTTTTTACTTAGCTAGGGTTTTCTTTCATTGGGTGTCTTGACATTTGACAGTTTAACTGAGCCTTGTAGCTATGGAACCATATCACATATCTGCAAATGATTCTACCTACCATAAACACTCTGTCCTGAATCCTGCCTGTACAAACTATCGAACTATCGGGAATTCAAATTCGTTCCTTTATACCTGGAACCACTGGTTGCCTGGGTCACTGGGTCGAGTGTCCACGATAATGAATTGATTCAAGTAGAGGAGAGAGAACTGCTGTGCATGATCCAATCACTTTTCACTTTACACTCAGGATACCCTGGTGAGTCCCTCAACTACTATAAATTGTAATATTGCAGAAACAAATATGCCTGAATAGAGGAATTGCTGTTGTAGCATTCCTAATGTGGTTTATGTTCTCAGATAATACGGACAAAGAGGTGATTTTTCATCCTTTTATTATACTCACTGCAGTGTTATGCTGTGTTTTTCCAGTGGCTCACTAACTAAAGCCATTGTACCCACACAATTTATAGAAGTAGATCCTTCACTCCTATCCTACTCTATATTGTACTACAGCAATCACATAAGCCAGGGATTGACAGAAGAAAATAAAGGTAAGAGGAAAGAAGAAATGGAAGAAGGATACTAGCTAAGAACATCTAGAATATAGGAAAATAATTTTTTAAAAACAGAAATAGCTCAGAAATGAAAAAGCAGTGATACACACAAATCTAATTTGCCTAGAAGGTCGAAAACATGATGACTTTACTATGTTCTTTAAGAGAGAAGAAAATACTCATATGTATGTTACATTCTGACTAATATACAAAAAAATCTTTGAGTTGTATAGAGGTAAAAAGCAAAGGATTTAGAGTCAGAAGATCTGAATTCAAGTTCTCTCTCCCTGCTATGAAGTAGCTATGCATACTCAGGACGATCACATTTCTCCTCCAAGCATCAGCTTCCTCACCTTTAAAATGGGAGTAATTTCCTCATTCTAGTTCATCTACAGGGCTGCTTACTGGGGAGGCTTTGGGCAGAGCCCATGAAATCTCAGGACCTGCCACACACAGAAAGTGGCCAAACTGGATTTTTTTCAGATCGGTTAGTATGTTTACTGTGAAGTGTACGTCACTCACCTATAAGCCCGGGATACGAAATGCCAACAACCTCAGGGTCTGGTATAAAACTCCGCCTTATAATGTCATTCGTTATCAGATGGTAGCAAACTGATCCCAGCTAGGTTTAAAAAACTGGGGTTTGGGGTAAGATCAACATAGTAGAGGTTAAGGGCACAGACTTAACCACTTAAGGAGCCGATATCCTGGGTCAGAATTCTGTTTCTAGCACATTCTAGCTGTGTCACCTTAAATAAATGACTTAACCTGTCTGTGGCTCACTTTCTTATTTGTAAAATGAGGATCCTATGTCATTAGGACTACTCTGTGTCACATAACTGTCAGAAGGATTAAACGAATTAATACCTATGAAGTGCTTAAAACACTGGCTAGTCTGTAGTATGCACTAATGTCATTATTATTATCATCTTAGCCTGAGCTTTTGTTTGGGGTGTTACAAGGTCTTTTGTACATCTCAGCCCTGAAGGCTCTAGGACCCCCCTTTACTATATTGAAGAGTTTCTTCCTCATGATCCAGTATATTCTTGCTATAATTTCCCTTTCATTGATACTCTGTGTAACCTTAAAGAGCATGCTTGACCTAGTTGCCATGAGATTCAAGTCAGATGATAGAAATAACGTGTTCCCCAAACTGTGAGGCACTAGACAAACGTTCACTATTATAACAACTTCAAAAACAACACCATCTTCCATTTGTACAATTCTTCATATATTTCAAAGAACTTCCATATACGTTATCTGCTTTGATTCCTGACAGCCACATGAAATATGTAAGGAAGGATTATTCTCATTTTGTATGTGAGGAAACTATGACACCGAGAGGTTTTGTTCTTTGCCAAAGGTCACACAGTCAGCGACTGTATAAAAATTTAGTCTAGATGGCTTAACTCTGAGTCAAGCATTTGATATCACACCGAGAAGACCGAGGCTCAAGAAAGTGACAACTCTTTCAACTCAAATGTTCACCGTACTCCTTGCCGTGAGAGGACTTTATCTCCTTGGGTAGAAAAACACGGTTTCTAATGGTAGCTTTACTTATGTGTGGTGTGTAGATAACGTAAATAGCATGGAGGCAGAAAAAGGCTGAGAACCACTAATATTCTTAGCAATGTGATACTGATGAACTGTAATTCTAGATGGCCAATTCAAGATCGTACACAAAATTATCACAGTGTTTAAACATACCTGGCTGCTTCTGTCTAGGTTTAGGTAAGTTTGTGACACAAGTATGTGGACACATCAAGACATTGCAGGGGTGGAGTGAACCTTCCAGGAAAAGCTGTTTCGTTTCTGACAAATGTATTCCACCAAGGGGGGTTTTGGGAAGGGTGTTTGCTGGAACCAATGCCAGGCAATAAACTCCAACTTGATGTATACTATCAATGGCCTAGAAAATTCAAAAAAATATAATCATGTTATAATAGACATTATAACATAAACATTCACTAAATGTTTATACTGTGCAAAGTATTATCTACAAAATGTAAAAATATGTGCGGCATCCATGGTGTTCCCAGTGTAAAACTGTCAGAGTAAGAGAATGCATTGTCTTACATAAAGTGAGGTCAGTAATAATAACTTAAAACTGAATAATTTACCTAGCACTTGTGGAATATCATAAACAATAAAAAAGAAATTTTGGAGAAAAGAGAATACATTCTCAAGATCGTAACAAAAAACTTTTGCTTGTGACCTTTCTAACACAAATGGTAGGAACCAGTGTTGCAAGCTCCTGTTCCTCAACCTTGATCTGTTTAGCTAGTTTCCTGGAACACAAAATAAAAGTTTCACACTTGATGTAATTTCTGATCAGATGGTATGAAAATAAAAGGAATACCATGTGGACAAAACTGTAGTTGATAAAGGTCAGGCAATAATTGTAGCAGATGAATGAGGGAAGCTGAAAATAAGAAAGAGGAAGAAAAGCTTCAGAGGCAAGAAAAGATCACCTGTAGAACTCTGCTCATCCACTGAAAGCTGTCTTCCTCCGTGGAGTCTGGTCTCTGCTCTGCAACAATGACTATCCTCTCATCATGAAGGACAGTCACTGAGAACACAGCTATTCTGTAGAAACAGATGAGGAGAGCATCAAGTGAGCATACACTGCAGATGGCAGTCATACAGATGTATTTCTACAATACAGAATTCTCATAACCATTATTAAGTACATAGCTCAGAAGATGAAAGCTCCAACTACCACATCAAAAAGGCAAATTGCAATTTCAAACTCCCACACACTTATTAATGTAAGAATAGCTTTGGGGAGGTGGTGGGGAAGGAGAAGCCTAAAGATGTTGCAAAGGCAAAATCAGCCCATATTTTACTCTCAGGCTGCCTACAGTAGTCCATAAGTTTTGGTGACAAGTTTTATACCCTTGGTACAGACAGAAAGAGTTAGTATCTAAATATCAGAACCACTGAAAATCAGAAAATCATACAGTTTGCACTTGTGAAGTAATTATGGCAACTCAATAACTTCATTATGCCCCTTTTCACAAATAGGTTGTAGTTTTAAAAATGATTTAAAGTGGCAATGCTATGTCTAAGTTTTTACTTTCCCCTATTCCCATTACCTTAACAAACTTAAGATTTTTAAGCAGTTTATGACTTCCATTCAATGAGTAAAAAACTCAGCAGCTGTAACAATTTAACTAATATTTACTGAGCCTTATGTCACAGACAAGGTAGGAATACAATCAGGAAGAAGAAAGCCATGGAGAGCAAGTAAGTAAATGGGCATCATCTTTTCTACGTAGGTCTACAGCTCAACCTTTGGGTCTTCCGATTTGCAGTAAAATGAATATCTGGCCTTTTTTTCTTTTTTGCGGTTACTGATTAAAAACATGAATTGCTTTTTAAATTCAATTTAGAGGGGTCATTAATGATAATATATTTATGCGGCTCAAAAAATTTCTATAAAGTCATGTATATTTAGAACTATATGGAATCTCAAAGATCATTGAGTCCAACTGCTTCGTTTTATGTAAGAGGAAATTGAGTCACGTAAGTTTGAGGGATTTATTTAAGATTTAAATTCATAATTATATAAAAAAGTATCATCTATTAAAAAAATGTATACTTAGAGACAAATGAGACTGACCTTCCTCTGTAGACAAATTTCATTGGTTCCACTGCCAGTGCTGTTGCCACAATGTCATCGGCATTGTGTCTTCGTCCACTGACCACCATCAAACCATCCATTTTACCCACCACAAAGACAAGTCCTCCAGGACCAATAAATCCAAGCAAGCCTGTCCTTATAAAAGGGTATTCACTGATCGGAGCCCCTGAACTTGTCATAGGAAATACCTACGAGGAAAACATACAAACCTTTAAGTTAGGATAACCCTTCCTCTCATCATTGCTGGTATTAGTCAGAAAACACAGTGTTTGACTTCTGTCAAATAAAATTATTTAAAAAATTAGTTCATAAGAACAAGGTATAAGAACTCGCAAAAAAAATCCATTAAAGATACACCTTTGAGAATCTATGTTTTTGCCTCCCAAGGACTGACTATATTGCCTTAAAAAAAAAAAAAAAAAGGCATTTAGTCTTTTTCCACACCTTACATGACCTAGTAGTGTGACACAGTCTTCAATAATATCAGAGAATAATAGAATGGATATTAAAAGGACTCTAGTTCACAGTTCCATCCAATAAAAAAGAAAAAAACAAAAAAACAAAAAAAAACTCCTCTACAGCATTCCTGTTTAGCTCTGTCTGAAAACCTTCAGAAATAAGGAGTTGGGCTACTCTCTGTTGGTTCTGGGAATTCAAAAAATAACTGAGTTGTAGGCTTTTTTTTAAAAGTTGGGTAAGCAGAAATTCCTATCTGTTCAGGAAGGAGGCCCACCTCCATCAGACTGACACCTGTCAAAGAATTGCTTTAAATGTGAGGAGCTCAGGCTGGAGCTCAGTTAACTCCTCCTATCATAACCCATCTGACAAACATTTCAAACAGGAAAAAGTTCCTGGTGAAACGTTTTGTTTTTAGAATATGTAATCAAAATGCTCTTAACTGGGAAGAATGGTTTCCCTACAAACCCCTCATTACAAACCCTAAATCACATAAAGTTTTCTCCAAACCAAATTTCAAAAAATTAGTTTAAGTTAGATGTATCATAGAATTCTGTAGAAAACCCTGGTTCTGGTAAGATCTTTTGCTGCCAGAACTATTGAACACTTTGATTGTGGGTTCCATTTCTTTCCTTCTAAGAAGATTCAAAGTATAATTTACCCCAGTTAGGAAAACAACAGCCCTTCGCTCCCTCATAACCACAGTCCTGGCAATTGGTTGGCCCTTAAAACTTGACGTCATCAGCAGCAGCAGCAACACTTTAGAACTCTCTCTTGGCTTTTCCTCTCATCAACTGCAGATGGGTTATATTTTACACGTATAGTAGCACATTTCAGGCATAGCTACTCTCCAGTTAATATCCCGTGATGAATATCAGGACAAGCATGGCCATGTTTTCAAACTCCTATTTTAAATTTTAACTTATCTTTTCATAATTTGGCAGTACTCTTGGATGAACTAAATGCAATTCTCTACAATATGAAGCAAGAGGATAGGTTTCTACCTGAATGCTAACATGATTTTATCATAAAGTAGGAATGTCATCAATAGATTTTAAACTACTGCAAAAATGAATGTTCAATGATAACTACTCTGAAACTAACACTTTTGGCAGATATTTCCCCAAATCAAATTATTCTATATTAAAATATTATGAAAACAATTCAGTTTTCTATACGTAACTTGTATTGTAAATTCATTCTGATGGGTGTACTTAAAACCAGGCTTTTCAGAATGAAATAACCTACCAAGACTGCTACTGAGCTTTTCTACAGCCATGATACCAGACCTGGTGGAATTCATTTCTGTCATGTTTTATGATGTGACAGTATAAAATGGTCAGTTATTCATATGCTGGTCCAGAGATGAGGAAAATTCTAATTTTTCGTGAGATCCATCTACCTCCAAGCAGAGATAGTATCTCTTTGCTTCTACATAAGAGCACTAGGTTGAGAACTCTATTTTAATAACTACCACTAACCATTCTATATTCCATCCCTGGATGAAGCTAATCCACTATGTCGTTGTTGGGTGCCACTGAGTTGATTTCAACTCATTCTGATGCCATATGACAGAGTAAAACTGCCTCACAGGGTTTCCTAGGCTGTAATCTTTATGGGAAAAAATCACCAGGTCTTTCTCCTGAGGAGCCGTTGGACGGGTTCAAACCACTAGCCTTTGGGTTAGCAGCTGAGCACCTAACCATTTGCCCCTCCAAGGCTCCTTCAAAACACTATAAATCTGTGTAACCAAACTCATTTGTTCTTTATGGAACCATTTTCCTTCGATTGTACTTTGATGGAAATCTCTTCCTTTTTTTAAATGAAGGCTATAAGAATAGCCACATGTTATTTAGAACAAATTTAATACCTTGTCATTCTCTATGTAAGTTATTCCCAATTTACAAAAGGGTTCCATTCCAATGACTCTGTCGTAAGTCGATTCTGACATAAGTTGAATACCTCTTTTATTCTCCCATTATTATTGCCCTTTATTATCAGTATCTTTATAAATTTGATCTGTATGTATTGGCGAAAGTGTCATAACAGTGAAGTCGGGGTCGCAGTGGACTGTCAGGCGCACGCACAGTTCAACTGCCATATGTCTTAGAGTTGAACATTGCCCAGCTTTCTATCTTTTATGACTCCCTACGCCAACAGTGACACAGATTTCATTAAACTAGGTCATAGCCTGCTATAAAGGTAGTCTTTTGATCAGTAAACCATAACATTGAACATATATGACTGAACATCTGAGAACGCTAACATCAGCAAATTACCTGCAACTCTGGATGTAGTGCACACTACCAACGATAAGATGTTGGTAGCAACAACAACAACAAAAAAGGTCATTGTAACTGGAATACATCACAAGTTGGGGACTACCTGTGTATAAAGAACCACTTAATAGATTTGTCTTTTAGAAATCAACGCTAAGAAAATTTTTGGGGCACAGATGATATGCTTCCTATTTCTCTTGATGAAACTATTCCACTTTGATCTTTCCTTTTTATCTGGCTGCCAGAAAGGTCTGCCTAAAATGGTTAATAATTTACTCTTTTTCTTGATCCTACTATTCTGCTGCTTTTAATATTTATGACTTCATTAGATGTGTCTTCTGTTGTAAGTTACTGCAATGGTTAAGATTGTGTGTCAACTTGGCTGGGCCATGATTCTCAGTGTTTTAATGTGATCACTCCCATGACTGAATATACTGTGAGTAGCCAATCAGATGAAAGGGAGTCTCCTTGGGGGTGTGGCCAGCATCTGAATATAGGCAGACATTCTGGATTTTTGCTCTCTCTGGATCCCGTGGCTGCCTCCTGTCATCTCATCTCTGGTTCTTGGGACTTGAGCTGTCAGTTACTTGCCGAACTTGGGATTCGTCGATCTTCACAGCCTACGAGCGGAGCCCTGCTCTCTGACCTGCTGATCTTGGGTTCACCAGACCCTGCAGCTACGTGAATCAGGAGAAACCTTGTGGTCTTGCCTGCCGATCTCAGAATTTGTCAACCTTCACAGCCTGTGAGCGGGAGTCCTGCTCTCCGACCTGCTGATCTTGGGCTCACCAGCTTCTGCAGCTGCGTGACTTGGAAGAGGCCTCTACCCTAATCCACAAACTTGGGACGTTCTAGCCTCTACAATCGCATGAGCTATTTCCTTGATATAAATCTCTTTCTATATGTATGTATTTATACACGTTACTGGTTTTGCTTCTCTAGAGAACTCAGCCTAAGAAACTTGGTACCGGGAGCGGTTCTAGAGAAACAAAATTCTAAGGATGAGTTTTCTAAATTGGTTCTCAAGTCTGGTTAGTCTTAAAGACATTGATGACTCTGCTTCCAGCAGTAAAGAGGTCACAGCTAGTCCATGGAGCGAGGTGGCGATACAAATATGCAAAATACCACCACCATAGATCAGGTATTGGTGAAAGGCGAGGCTCAGGTGAACACATGTGTGATATCTTTCTACAGCTTTGTCAGAATGAGAAGTATAAGGAAGCTGGTTGGTTTGTCCTACTTTTGCTAGACAAACTGGTGAAAGAAAGAGATGTGTTTAGGGCTTCAGAGTCAAAGCTCAAATGCCGCAGACCTGACCTCAAGGCTTCCACTTGTGCTTTGAAAGAAAGCCTTATTTCTTGTAGTAACAGAGCTGAAATTGCTGAAAACCAAACCCAGAGTCTTACTGTAAGAGTGGCTGAATTACAATGCCAGCTCAACTGCAAACCTCGAGAGATATCTGAAGTTAAAGTAATGGCACTGATTGGGAAGGCATGGGATCCTGAAACATGGCATGGGGACATATGGGCAGATAATCAAGAAGCTGGGGACATTGAGCCTGTAAATTCCATTGAATCACTCCTGCCAGCAGAACCAGTCCCATCTGAAGAGATTACTTCATGTTTGTCTGCTAAACCACCCTGCCCAGAAAAACCATTAGCCCCTCCAC